CCATCTGCCATTTATTCGCCAAACTCACTAAATGATATAAATCCTTTTGTAAATCAGCAGCATCCTCTTCACAGCTAGCAACACCTGAGACCTTAATATCATCAGAAAACTTAAGTAATTTATTGACCATTCCTTCGTCTATATCATTGATGTAAATCAAAAAGAGCAAAGGTTCTAAGATAGAGCTCTAAGTTACCCCACCTGTAACATTAATTCAGTTTGATGGAACTCCATTTATAACAACCCTCTGTTTTCTTCCTTCCAGCCACTTTTGTATCCAATTTACCAACTTATCCCCCACACCTATAGAGATCATTTTTCACAAGCCTTTTATGTGACACCTTGTCAAATGCTTTCTGAAAATTCAGATACACCAAATCTACATAAGAAGTAACCTTTTCAAAGAATGTCAAAAGGTTTTTAAGGCAAGGTTTTCCCTTTGTGAAACCATGTTGACTATCCAATAAAATTCTAAACTTTGTTAAATGACTTTGCAAAGCATCTTTTATCAGACTTTCCAAAACTTTCCCCACAACTGATGTAAGACTAATAAGTCTATAATTACTAGGTCAATTTTTATCACCTCCCTTGGAAAGAGGAGTAACATTAGCTAACTTCCAATCCTCTGGAACTTGCCCACTATTCAATAACATACAAAAACAGTCGCAAGTGAGTCATATATCCAGTTCCTAACCTCCTTCGACAAAGAGATCATAAACTACAATGAATGTGAGTAGCAGTTTGGTTCTTTGGAAATTTTACTGCAGCGGTAAGTAAATATTTAGAAAATAGGACGACTTGCAAAACGCAAAGATGTCTGTTTAGGGAGCCTTTCTTAAACAATGTAAAAATGCATTTCTTGCTTCCTTTCCAACTAAGGTCAAATATCTGCTGTAGTATATAATTCTCTTTGAATTCTCATGAAATACTTAAAATCAAGCATCACAAACGAACTTCCAAGTACATAAAAAACTATTTTCCTTGAACCTCGAGAGCTATAAAACGAGAGTTTGTGTTTAGATTGCTTATATTAGCACACATCCCAGTATATATCAACAGTGTTTCTACTAAAAAGGAATTCCGAGCACGCAATTCGAATACAAGTCTCTGACAATCTAGCCTTATGTAGTTAAGTTCACTCTACCGATAATAAAAATTAACAAAAAAAGTGACTATAGTTGCTAGACAATTTTTCATATTATAATCCCCTGTTTAATACATTATGTCTTATCTAATGTTCTCGGCAATAATCTTACACTTGGAAATCTGTTTAAAATTTTAGAATCAGATAAAATGTATTTTGTATTTGCACTAGCATGGTTTGACTAGAAACGTAAACAGCCTCTTCACGGAGTCACATGCTTCTAAAGTAGGCGGAACCATTAGCTACTTATTTTACATTGTTTTAAGCTGATTGGGCAATGGGGAATGATGTCACAAAGGGTGTATACACTTCACTGAATTAGTTTGTGACGTTGCTTTTGTCGACATAGGCGGAGCTGGGAATCCGAACGATCCCGGAGAAGCTGAGAGGTCTATGTCCTGCGCACCAACTTTTATGTGGCGGGAATGACCAACACAAGAAGGTGGTTTTAGCAGGGCGCGTGACTGCACGAGTAACATACAGTGAATAACCTCTTACAGTATTCGTCGCAAGCGCTTTACTGGACTTAGTATTCAAGCGCTCTGAGCAGTCAGTTCACTGTTGCAGCTTAAAGGACGAGTCCTGGGGTTGAAAGAAACAATCCTCTGCATAGGAGGGTTTTCCTGCTGATCTGTATAGTGGAACACGTATATCTTTCTCTGTTTCTAGAGATCACGAAAATACTGTTAATTCTTGGTTGTCTGTGATTCAAATCCCTTCCGATTCGACGTTGAGATTAGGTGCTACTGTCAGTCATAGCACGCGGCTTAGTCAGTTACCAGTCTTCTGAAACTCTCGTAACCCTAAGTAATTGATAAATGGACTCATTAAACGAATCCTTGTGCCTGCAAGATCTAGTTGCTGGTGTTGGTTCCCCACACCACGTTGTACACGACACTGTTGTCATGCCGGTAGTTGCGACATCACATCCCCCCACCATAGGCCCGGTTACTCCGCTGGTTCAGGTATCAGCTGTCCCGATGTCTGTTCACGGACTACACACGGGCCAGCTACCCGTGGCCGGAATCTCTGTACACCGGCACAGTCTTCATGAAAACGCCAGCACTCCGTGTTCCAGCAGCTCAAGCATAGGACATGACCTTGGCGTTGAGCACAAGAAACGAGGTAAGGCTTATAAAAACATTAACCGTGAAAAATATCATTAGTGATTTCAAACATATGGAAAACCATAATGTCTATAATTATCGTGACTGTTTTAGTGCTTACAGGACTTTCAAAGTAAACATCACGATTGAAGAAGACTGGTAAATCCAAATGTGCTCGCTTAGGGTGTTTTTAATATCAGTTTATTTTTATATGATTTACCTATTTTACAATAAGTACCTTGACATCCAAGTCTGTGATTCATATTTTAATTTGTGTTTCTTGAATTAAAGTTAATATCACTAACACTTTGCACTAACTATAAATCCAACGATACAGAAGATATGGGCATATTAGAAGACAATTGAATATATATATATGCAAATACGTATCATGTAACCAACTCTATTTATGAAATATAAATATGATTTATTGTGTATATGCAGAAAGCTGAAAAGAGAAGTTAAAACGCGTGATTGCAGTGACACCTGACGACTTGTAAGAAAGTGATTTTTTTTTCTAATCATACTTGTGCATATGTGGGTTCGACAAGTGTATTCCTAGAATTACGGTAACATTAACTTAATAGATACAATGATGTATTTACTTATATATATATACATATTTAGATACACACACACACACACATATATATATATTTATTTATACACATATATTTGTACACACAGATATGCCAGCATGTGTAGGTGTGTTTCGAATGTTGAGAGCGCTGACTTGATTACACATGTTGGCGTAATCAT